GGGCCTTTGTAGCTCCTTACAAGGCGGAACTGGGGAAACATTCATCCTCTTTGCAAACTCTCCCATTCATTCTTTTATTTATTTATTTTTTTTTCATGCTTGGTTAGCTCTCTGACATTCTGGCACCTGTTTCCAGCACAAGCCCTTGTATTTATCTCTGAATTATTAACTAAGAGCCCACAAAGTGTCTGCCACTCGGTGACATGTCCTGACTTCATGGAGGGGAAAAGGTGAGGGAGGTATGGGTGGGTGTGTGTGTGGGGGGGCTGGTTTCCTTGGCAACAAGGGGACTCCTTTATAACATAGCCGTGTCTCCCATCTGTGTTCTGCAGGAGCAAAATATTACAGGATTATTAACTGCATGATTGATGTTGCGTTTGGCGCTGGGGATGGACAGTCGGTGCGAATCCTGCAGTTTTCACCTAATTGTGCATTTTCCCCAATGCTGCAGCTGGCTGGGGCAGGACGGGGTTTATAATGACATTAGCGTTTTGCAGAGGATTCCCTTCTTTTTTTTTAATACGTCTTATGTACAAAGCTGTGAGTTTGATGAGGAGAAATCCAAAGGATTAGGAAGTAGTAGCTCACAAACTGAAAAGTCGCTTGCGATGTAGCAGTCGGATTTTTTGAGGGAAACTTCTGATCGTCAAAATCTGTAAATCATTGACTTGTCAGTTCCAAATTTAATAAAGTTCAGGTTCTTTCAAAGAACTTTTTAAAGAATATTTTTTGCCGAGTGTTGGAAAACTGAAACGGTTTGGACAAATGTTGATTCAAAATGTGTTGGTGTTTTCAAGCGCAGCGTTGTAAAGCTCTTTCTCTGTTAAGTTTTCCAGCTGATGACTCAGGATTATCTTTTGAAGTAAAAAGAACTGATGTCTCACTTGGCACTTTAGCTCAGTTTCTTCTCTATTTGCACATTTATTTTAGATGTGAAAATGTTTGTGCATTTTATCAAAATATATTCAGTTACTGTTCTCAAGATCCACTCGACAAAAAAAAATCTTTTCTGCCCTTTTGCGTAATTTCCCGAGTGACATGTGAATGTTGGTGTGTCGGTTTAAGACGCGCCGTTCACCAAACAGAAGAACCAAACCTGTTATTTTGATATTATTTTTATTGTGGCTTCAGGTCTTAGGTTTTCAAAATCGTCCAATAATTTCACAATCTTGCCGTGTCAGCAAGCACTGGAGGCTTCTCACCTCTTTTGCTTCTCCTCTCACTTCGTCCTTAAATGCGTCAGTGTTGCTGGAAATTGCGAAGTTTTGCTTTCTCTCCGTGACAACATCCACACTTGAAGAGTGTTGTCACTGCAACCTACTAATGCTTTTGAATTGTCTTTGTGTGTTTCTGATCGGCAGATCACCAACAGTTGTAACCAGTCGAGCGCAGAACTCCTTGGGTTCCTGTAACCTGACAGTTTCGATGGAAACAATGTTGAGGTGGAGTTCAAAGTTCAGAGAGAGTCGTCACCGCGCGCTCACGGGCAGATGGGTCGTCGGCTGTCTCGGGCTTTTAGATGTGTACAGCAGGGAGGCTTCTGGAACAAGCCAAAGCGGCGGTCGGGTCAGACCAGCCGGCTCGGTGTGAGCCGGAGCGAAGCTGGGAGGTGGGAGGATAAGGGGCTTCCTTTTGTAGCCATGAAGAGCAGCAGCAGCGTTTTGAAGTGGATACAGGCGCTTCCTCAGAGCCTCGGGAGCAGATCGAGCAGAGGCGGGGCGCAGCCTGGAGGAATGTAGGCCGAAGCTTGCGGCCAAAAAGGGAGTAACAGCAGCAAAGACGGTTGTTTCTCATCCGTCTGCAAGCTGAAAAAGAATCAAACGACTCAACGTTTCAGAGTTTAAACCAAGCGTTGACGCCGCCAATATATCCACTTGAGTTTGACTGCATTTGCTGAGGAAGCCTTAGCGCAGGGCTTTATTACTCGAGGATCCATCTGAGAGGCGCGCAGTCTCTGCCCTCTTTTGCTCCTCTACTGTAAATCTTTACGGTCAGAGATCACAACGCCTGCAGGCACTTCCAATGAAAGTCTGAAAAGACAAGTGCTTTCGTTGAACATGTCAGAGGAGGAAGGGGATGGTCAGTCCCCACAGATAACTTTCCAGGCAGCGCTATCAGTGGCTCACTTGATTAGTGCCTTGAAGTTTGATTTATAAGATCTGCAACCGTGTTTTGTCTCCTATGAATCAACATCCTTATTGTATTCTTCAGAATTTCCTGAGCATTGTTGGAGTTTCTAAACTCTAATGACTTCCCAACCCATCTAATGTTCTGTTTTCTCTTCCCCAGGGAGTCTAGAGGGTTATCAGTAATGTTCCTCATTTATAATGCTGAAAGATAAAAAGGACTTATCTGGAATGTGCGCTACCATGGTAGGACAGCTCTCATGTCGTCCGTTATAAAAGCTTTCACTCTCCTTTGTAGTGACACTGTTGTTGCGAAGCAGCAATGGAAGCATCTGGCAGACGCCTCGGGCCGCGGCGGCTCAGTGAAAGTAGATCTGTGAGTAGAGGGAGCACCATCATGGAGGGGGGAGGAATCTTCCACTTTGCTTTCCTCAACAAAGTAACAACCATTCGGGACCTCCGGTTCCAGAACACGTTCGTGTTTTTTTTTATTTTTTTTATTGCTGGGCAGATTTAAGCCATTCCAGAACCAGGACCGAGCCAAAGCTTGAAGTAGGTGGGTCTGTTTTAAAGTCTGTGGCCACGGAGTGTTGAGGGTTTAAAAGTGGAGAAGCGTCAGGCATAAAGAGCAGGGGTTCAAACTGTGAAACCAACATGCCACACATGACGTGCAACATTAAGATGCGGATATGCTGGGAATTCACCCCCCGGCAGGCGGTTAGTCGTCCCGTCAAGGGACCTCTGAAGAGAATCACCATGATCTTTGATTATCAAGGATTGTGAACCTCAGTATCTGCACGCGCAGCGGCCCCACAGCGGGTATACGATGTTGTTCTCAGCCGAGCGTGATCCAATTAGCGCTATGGGCATCGAGTGCAGAGAGACTCTAATGCTCACACGTCTTGGAGAGGATGGATCTTGAGTATGGATTAGGAATTCCCTGGAGTTGCAACTGTCTGACCTCTTGGCCAAGGATTATTGGCACAGTTAAACCAGAGTGTTATGTACTGAAGGCTGCTCCTTATCAGTCATTTCTGCAGTTTCACAAGAAAAATCTGAAACTTTTTTTTTTTTTTTTCCCCCATTCTGGACTAATTGGCTTCATGTGTTTTCTGAGCGCTGGCCGAGCCCGGACAGTCTTTTGTTTTGTTTTTGCATTAATTGGTTATTTTGAAATGTGTTAGAACCATGTAATATATGTTTTGAAATGCAATTTTCAGCCTCCTTGAGAAGAACGGGACGTTTCCCCGGCCACTTCTGCTATGCTAACTTTATTAGCGGTTCACATAGTCGACCCGTTTGTTTCAAGGATTTCAGTTCTTTGGAAATCGGGAAGTCCATTTTAATTGGCGGCTAATGTAGCCGCGTGTTTTTTTTATAGTTATTCCAGACAATTTGCCTGCTCAAGATTGTGCCCATAATAAACTGAGTAATAAAGGAATCATAACACAGATTTTGAAAAATGTTAATTCCCTGCTGCTTTTCACTGTTTACATTTAACTATTGCCAACTATTCAAACCACTACATTATCAATAAAATGATGGATCCAAATTTGTTGACTGTTTCTGAAGTTATTGCCATTATGTAATTATTACTATGCCATAAATCTGGTGTGGCTCTGTTCTTACTCTGGTCAAAAAGCAGCACATGCATTCCCTCTCTCCTTTCCTTCCTTATACTCACTTCACTTCTCTCATGACTCTGCAGTGCCCCAGCTGTCAATTCTTATCTTAAATCGTCTCTGCGGAGCAGAAACACGTTTATGACACGAATGTTCTTAACACCTCTTCATCAACGCTGAAGCAGTTCATCAAAAAAAAAAAAAAGGACAGAGGGCAGATTTGACAGCATGATTTGTGGGATTTTCTTCACTTTTTTATGTCTAGTAACTCATGCCCTTTTGCAGCTGCTGTCTGTGCTAAATCACTTTTGAGATTCCTGAACACTCATTATGTGGAAGAGCTTAGGACTGCCGAACCAGACTTGTGCTGTTGGCTGTATTGCATATTTATATTACAGAAAGCAAACAGTGAAACAAACAAAATGGAAAACATATATTCCACTGTGTCTTATTTCCAGACCTGGAACATGCTAAAGAAAAATATAGCTTTTTCTTGCTTTTCAATACTTCTCTAGGAGGAGCCTTGCTTATTTCTGCACTTACTATATAGTGTGTGTGTGTGTGTGTGTGTGTGTGTGTGTGTGTGTGTGTGTGTGTGTGTGTGTGTGTGTGTGTGTGTGTGTGTGTGTGTGTGTGTATGGGTGTGTATAAATATATATATTAAAAGTTACATATTGCATCTTTAACTCGGTTGTTTTACAAGACATTCAAAAAGGGTGAAACTGCTATGATTCTGCAGCAGTTTCATGTTTCTGTCTCTAGAGCGTCCTCACTGGCTTTACCAGGCCCTCTCGCCGTCATATAGAAGGCATTACCGAACGCGGCTCCCGCAGATGTTTTTCTCAAGACGCATGAATCCCTCTGAGCTGCGTTTCTGCATCGAGCTTTCCTCTCGTCGTGGCAGCGACGCCGTGAGCCCCGTCCGACTGACCTGTCCCGTCTTTCCCACCCTCAGTCATTTACTCGCCCTCGGGGCTGCTTTTCTTCTGCCTCGGTCCCGTGTTCCTCCTTTAAACAACAGAGGGCATGTCTGTTCTCTAAAATACTTGTCGTATTCTGGTGACGTTTGTTTACACCCTGGTACTTCTGGTGAACACCCACCGAGACTGGAGATGTAATTTTCGCCCCGGTAAATTGTTTCCCATCTCCAACTAAAATAAACCCAACTCTGCTCCCTTGAGGTGTTTTCCATCCACTTACTTTAAGCTCTCTCCTTCTCTCCCTCCCCCTCCACCCTCACCTTTCTCTGCAGATGAAACTGTGGAACAAGTACAAAGTGACCAGCATCCCTTCGCTGGTGTTTGTGGACGCAGCCACAGGAAAGGTGGTGTGTCGAAACGGTCTGCTGGTGGTGAGAGACGACCCAAAAGGTGAGAACGATGACCCTCACACTCATTTTTTTTTTTTTTTATCTCTATGACTCGAAGGTCTGACCTTATTTCACTTCACTGGATGGCTTTGGAGATTGCGGTTCATTTGAACCATTAAGCCCTCCAGGAAACCACTGTTTATAAAGCCAACCAAACACATAACAGGGTTAAAAGGACAGTAGAACATATAAATTTTCTGTGTCATGGTTTTATTACCCTGAAATCTCGGTGGGAAGCATTCGTCATTCGCTCTGGCTTGTGGGTGACACCCAGCATTACTGTGGCTGCGTAGGAGACAATCTGGTGTTACAGTATGTCATTACACAAAAACTGTTATTGTACGCAGAGGGAATTACTGTTATGTTAAAAAAAAATACACAACCAAATAAATCATTCAAAATGGACACTTTCTGGGAATTATACTCGAGTTTATATTCGCCATGTAGTCGTAAAGCGTAATCCAGTTGTAACTACGAAGTTGTAACTATATTTACAGTTCGGTTAATTATGTTTGTAGCAAACGTTTCCTTTCTGGATTAATCATTTCTGCTCTTTATGGCCCAAAATAGTAATACAGTGAGTTAAAGCGCAAAGACTGAATGTTTAAGTGAGGTTACGATGTCAGAAAAATGATTTCAAGAATGGGTTTTGGTGCAAAAATGTTATCTGGAATTTAAAGGCAAATATATTGCAGTGCAACCAAAATAGGCTCAGATCCCTGAGGATTAGGAGAAGCTGCCGTCTGACGAATAGCAAACATGGCGCCGATCAGCAACACTGAAACTCGCTTCTACGCCTGAACGCCAGATGCGCGTCTCCCTGCACAGTCAGCACGACAGACAGACTCTCCAGCCTGCGACCACTGAAAGGACGGAAAACCGTTCTGGAAAATATGATGGAAGTTGTGTTGCAGCTCTGAAGTGACATAAGACTTTAAAATTCATTTTCTGGCATTTTTATTTCGTCTCGTTTTCTAATAACCTTCGGTATGGCTTTTATGGCACACGGAACATTTGGTTTGTTGTTTTTTTTTTTTTCACTAAATGCCAGGAATAAAACAAACACGAAAGTGAATTGGAGTTCCCACCGTTTAAATTCAGTTCAAAGCTTCTTTATTGTTCACAAAGGGAAATTAAGTGTTGTTGCAACTCTTATCAACTCGTTTTCCTTTGGAAGTTGTCAAATATTGAAGCACAATTATTAAAAATGGTAATAAACTTTTAGCCTGTAAGTGCAAAATAGATATGACCAAAATGTAATATCAATATTACATGCATGCAAGCTAATGTAATAAAAATACAATTTAAAAAGCTGTACTCGTAGAAGCTCTGGAGTCTAGTTATAACTTTTCCTCCTTGTATGGGTTGATGCAACTATAATTCTAGTTCTATCATTCTGTGATTCTTACTGTATGACTATTTCACAGCGATTTGTCTGGAAAACTCTGTGATCCATGCACTTTGAAGTGAAGTTGGATAATTAACAAAAGTGAGGCTGCATTTATTTCGTCCTCCGCTGCAGAAGAAGCCAGAAATCTTCCAAAGCGCCTCCGTCTCATGTCGCTGGTGATGGCAGGAAAACGGAAAAGACGAGGCAACAAGAATATCTCAGGAGTTTTATTAAACCCTCCTCAGAGAAAAGATCGACCTCTGCAAATGAGGATTTTATTTTTCTTTCAGTGAGTGAAATCTTGGGCTTGATATTTTTTTACTTTTCCCTCATTTCACCGATTTAATCAGGTGTGACAATGTGACAAATCTCCTCTCCTGCAGGCCTATGTTTTGGTGTTTGGATTGGAAAAGGGCAGTGAAACCTTTTTTTGTTTTTTTTTCTGCACACTGAAACCAGGAGGGGTGTGTGAGAAAGGACCCTCAGCAATGTTCCCTCTGCCTTTCACTCTCTGTGAAAAGGCCTGGTCTTGAGTGGCGGCAGACTGGCCTGCAGCGTAAAGATGGAGTGCACGTTTACAATCAGGACAACAATGAAAGGGAACGCCGGTGCAGTGCAGACGTGTCCTTCCTGCCTAATGAAGCACTAGACAACCGCGCTCGCATAAAGAGGCTATTATGATCAGCCGTACAAGGTTTTATTTATCATTACCCTCCCATCCCGCCCCCTTTTCTTTTTTTTCTTTTTTTTGCGGCTGTACCAAATGCATCTCCAGAGCAGGAGCAGGACAATGAGAGCTGGCTGAAAAGGAAATGAAAAGTGTCAAAAAGAGCTGGAGGGCAGAATTACAGGCAGCAATGATTTGCTTAAGAGGCTTGGCTTTTCATGTTCATTAAAACCGTTTGTTTTGGGTTTTTTGCATGTGTGCGTATATGTGTGTGTTGGTGTGTTTTAAAAAGTAGATATCCAAAGAAATCACATGTGCAGATTGGTGTCTGGAATCAATTTGCTGCCGAGTCGCAAGCATGGATGAACATGTTAGACAAAGATTTACACATGACTGTTCAAGATTTCCAATTTCAGTCAAACAAAACTGAAAACAGTTTTCAACAACTTTTATTAGTCCTTAGAGCTGATAGTTGGCGTTAACGGAGCAGTTTGTAGTGGCTACTTTAGTCAAACAAAACCAAGAACAACAGATGGTGACCTTTCACAAACCAGCTTTCTTTGCCATTAGTGCATCTCAGGCTAACATTTAGCACTGTGTGAGCCTGCTGTTGTTGGCATGCCAACCGCAGTTTGTTCTTGCTTTGCGGACAAAAGCTTCCAAACATTTAACGAACCGATCATCTCTGTTAACCTGCCTGCCGCTAAACGTTTAGGGAATTAAACGCTTTTCTTCTCAAACAAGACCAAAAGTAAAGATGGCGACCTTTCTTCAAATTCTCCCAACAACTTTTATTACCTGCGAGGCCGTCAGCGCTAATGGTTGCCACGCCAACAGCAGTTTGCCGCTCTGTTTTGGACACGAATGATGAGTCAGCGATCTCTGGTCCTGCTGTGAAGCATTTGGGGCATTTTCTGATTTAGTCAAACAACATTAAACATGAAGATTGGTGACTTTTCTTCTAAGCGCTTTCAACGACTTTTATTAGCCATGAGTGCTGTTAGCGCTAATAGTTGACACCAAATAATGAACCAGCAATCTCTGTTCCACTCGCCTACCGTTTAGGGGACTTTACTATTTCCATCAAACAAAACCCAAAGAAAAAAAAAAAAAGATGCTGACCTTTTCTGTTTTCAACTACTTTTATTAGCTAGTAATCAGCACTGTGAGCTTTGCTGTTGTTGGGATGCCAGCAGCAGTTTGTAGTTGCATTATGGACAAGCTTCTAAACAAATAATGAACCAGCAATCTCTGCTCCACTTGCCTGCTGTTAAACATTTGGGCCCTCCGCTGTGAGTTTAGCAGTAATCTCTTCCCATGTTCCCCCTCCACTCCTCCTCTCAGGTCTGGAGTTCCCCTGGGGGCCGAAGCCCTTCGCAGAGGTGGTGGCGGGGCCTCTGCTCAGGAACAACAGGCAGACAGCAGACAGCAGCTCTCTGGAGGGACACTATGTGGGAGTGTATTTCTCAGCACACTGGGTGAGTGAGGAGAGAGAAGACAAAGAGGAGCCCGTTTTGTTTTTGTCTTTTTTCCCTTCCAGACTTCTGAACTCTTAAAAACTGACAGCAAATCAGAGCAGGAAGAGGCGATTTTGCCATTTGTCTATTGACATTAGAAGCAGTCAGCCATCTTTGAGTCCTTTCTCCACCTCTGGACCTGTCGCCACGCCTCAGCTTTGTCCGTCTGCGCGGCGGAGCCGCCGATGGCCGACCGAGGGGTCACGGCTGGACGATGAGACGCAGCACGTCGGGTCTCCTAACGCAAGTCAGCACAGCCGCTGGCAGAGCCGCAGCCGGTTCAGAGCGGCGACGCCCCAATGTACTGGCTGGAGTCCCAGGCACATTAAAACCTGGAACAGAACAGAGTCACAAAAATGCCATTAGAGCAGCGTTTTCACACCACATTTCTACTCAGTCATTTGATGAAACCAGGAACACCAGCACCTCAGCAGGGAGCTTTCTTCACTGTGGTTTTCCACTCAAAGCAAGAGATTGATTTATTTTTTTGTGCTTTGTTGTTTTGTCATCTAGACTCCCTAGAAATCCCACGCTCTAAACATCGTCTATCTAGATGTCCATTTAACTTTCTGCCCTTTTGTCCACAGATGCAGCCGTCCATTCATGCTTGTTTATAAATGTTTGTATTTTTCTCCATCCCTCTATGCATTTGTCCATCCAGTCATTGTTTTGCTCATCCATAGTTTTGTCCATCTGTCTCTGGGCGTGTTCTTTAGTATTTTTGTCCATCGACCCATTGAAGCTCCAACCCCTTCATTAAAAAAAAAAAAAAAAAACTGACATGGATGCATTTATTAGGAAAGGACATGACCATTATCAATGATTTATATATTTATTTTTTTATTAACTTTCTATTTATTTATCTCAGTTTATGTGATTAGTTTTTTTTTTGTTTTTTTTCCCTGTACATGTGACAAAACAACACTAAAATTAAATATCTCCTGTGGTTGATGCTTTTAGTTTTTCAACTTCAAAGTAGTCAAAGGGTCCCTTTCTGGGTCCCTGAATACGAATCAACCGGAACCGTTTCCATCAACGTTGGTGTCGATGCGCCAGATGGAAACACATTTTCCCGAATAAGTTCTGACGTAGGAGATGCTCAAAATTTTTCAAAGTAAGACTCTCTCCAGTTCTATGAGATGCTAGATTGCGACTTCTACATCTTTTGTTTTTCGCTGCAGTCTTGCAGTTCTCAAAAAATGTTAAAATTAAGATTGGCACTAATTCAACATGTGTATGTTTTACTCTGTTAAAAGCAAAAAGCAACAGTCCAAGAAATGACTCGAGGAAAAAAGCATCAATCGTTTAATGTCTTAAAATTACGTCAGGTGACTGATCAACGTGGAAATTTTAGTGGAAATTTTTAAAGACCAAAATGAAAACAATTCCTATAAATAACAAAATTAAGCAAAATTAAAAAAAAATCTCCAAATTAGTTTCCTTCAAAATAAAACTTATGAAACCTTAACATAAGCTGCATGTATGCGCGTGTTTGGTCAAAACAAGCTTGTTCTTCATTCAGTATCCAGAAATGTTACTTAAGTAAATGTAGTGACACTTTATAATAAATTGCTCTTGTAAAAGTAAATAACAAAGGGTGGTAAAAAAAAAAATTCAAAAATGTAGCTGGTTACTACCAAACTCTGGCCATGCGCAGCGTCATCGTCTGAAGAAATTATGACTTTATTGATTCGCTCCAAACCAGTACATAAAACATGCTAAATTGGCTATTGGTGTGTTCAAAGTTTTACGTTTACGTTCAGAAAAGAGCGGCAAACGGAGCCTGGGCCGCTCTGTTTTCCCTCCCGACTCTCTGATGTCATCCTAATGCCAGCCATACCAGCGCTCCCTCCTCCAAACACACACACAGCAGAGCAAACATTTCCCTGATCTGCAGTAATGCATCAGGATTAGGAGCTGGCGTATGTGTTTGGGGGGGAAAAAAAACAAGAAGCTGGATACAGAAGCGGAGAGAATTACCAGTTTGTTGGAAAGGTGTTTGCTGAAACATGTGTGAGAATCAACCAGCGACTTATGAAACCGCTACGGCTCGGTTTTCTTTTCAAGGTTCTTCCAAAAGTGGGAAAGCATGACCTTTTCTTTTAATATTTTCCGGATTGAGATAACTGTTAACAAAAAAGGGGTGTTGGCGAAAATTTTTATATAATATGGAGTTTAGGGGCCTTTGCGAGTTAGCATGAAGCTACTTAATAAAAAGAAAGATTCCCAAGGAAAGAATTGTTTGCTATAGGACGGGAAATGTTATAAAAAGGAGACAAATTCCCGCAAAGAACTAAGCCGTGAAAACAATTGATCAAATCCACTTTTGAGGTCAGATCCTTATGGATTCAGGCCTGGTCACATCCACACCCGTTGGAAACAAGCAGTCTTAAAAAAGTGTTCAAATCTCGTCCATTATTTCCAAGGTTTTCCTTGTTTACTGTCTCTTTAGATGCTCTTCAGTGGAAACAATTTAAAGTTTTTGGTGGTTTTTTTTGTTTGTGGTTTTTTGTGTTTGACTCCGGTGAAATGAATTGCTCCTGTGTGTCTCTTAGTGTCCGCCGTGTCGCAGTCTGACCCGAGTCCTGGTGGAGTCCTACCGAATCGTCAAAGAGTCGGGTCAGAAGTTCGAGATCATCTTCGTCAGCGCCGACAGGTGAGCGCCGCTGCCGATTCATCCGTTTCGCTGAGAGTTACGTCTGCGTCCGTCTTCTCAAACAGGCGTGGGAGTAAAAAGCGTTGTCCGTTTCCATTCCAGGTCAGAAGAGTCTTTTAAGCAGTATTTCAGCGAGATGCCGTGGTTGGCCGTCCCGTACTCGGACGAGGCGCGGAGATCTCGACTCAACAGGCTGTACGGAATACAAGGTATTTTACTTTTGCATCTATCAGTTTCAAATAGAAGTAGGGAAAAGATATACAAGATATGTATTAATTCTAAGCCAGAGAGACGGTTAACTCGCATTCTAAAGTTTGTTTTATACGGATTCACTAAGGATTCATTAATAAGCAGCCCTGTTTTTAAAAGCTGAGTTTTCTCTTGTATTAAGAAGGTTGACCATGTTTCCATAACTTGAAAGGCTCAATTTTTTTATATGTAATCTTAATAAAAGCACATAATTCAGTTTTAATGTTGTTTTGTGGTTTTCTCACCTTTGACTTATTTGTCAAATCTAACAAAAGAGGATCCTCTCGGGTTGCTAAGTGGAAAATGTAATATCTGAATCACTTAAACCCACATGAACAGAAAGATATTCATGCAGACGTAGACTTCTCTGTGAAGTAGTCCGCTTGAATCTTAAAACTGCGCAGCATGAAGTGAAATAACTCATGATTTTGGTTTTTCTTCCATCATGTTGCAATTTTTCTCGTTTACCTCCTCCACTTGGATGGCGCGGTAAAAATAAAAAAAACTGACATTTTGAGATTTATCTCAGAAATTTTTTTTGCATATTTTCACTTTTTTTTAACCTAAAAACTTTTCCGCTTTTGACATCTTAGAAATGTTTAAAAAAAAATTCGAACCAATTATTCACTTTTCAAGCTACAGAATTTCCAAGAAAAATCTCAAAATTTGTTGGCAGAAATGTACTCCTTTATTTATTTATTTTTATCTGCATTATGACATCACGCGTCCCCGTCTCCGTCGGTAACCTCTGAACCGGTTGTCGGCGCTGCTCCACCAAGCAGGATCTTGCCAAGTGACAATATTTGGAAACAGAACCGCAAAAACTGCATTTCGCGTCCAACGCCAGACTCTGTTTGGAGGATGACCGGCGGTGGCCTCTGCTGGACGGAAGCCAAACTACAACACTCAAAGTGGACGTTATCGGTTAATCGATTGGAACTAATTTTCAATCGAATAAGCTTATAATCGTCAATTAATCACAAGTCGTCTGCATTCCTCGGAGCTGGTTTATAATATCTGCCTTGCTGGGTCATATCAGAGAGCTGACGGCTCACTGCGACCGACACGGATTCACCCTGAGGAATGTGGACCGGTTATCGAGTTAACCGTCTCTCTGGCTGCAGGAGTGAAGCGTCTCTCCTTCGCTTTCCCCCTGATTGCCTCCTCTGTGCTGTGGAGGATGATGTGAGCTGGAGCTGGCTCTGTCCTGTGAAGAATGTCAGGAATGCCCAGAGGACGAGTCAACAGCCCCCCCGGAACCCCCACATCCAGATTAAACTCCTGCACTCCACGATTGCCTCCTCTTCTGCAAACCTCACCCCCCTTGTTCAGCTCCCTGACTCATGAACCGCTTGCTGGCTGACGGCGCCCGTTTCTGATAAGAAACAGACACTCTTTTTGAAAAGTAAGGGGAATGTGTTTGTGACAAGTTAAAGCAAACCCACTTTCCAATAAAATCTATTAAAAAGAGGGGGGAGGAAGAAGAAAAATGTCCACATAGCAAGGAAAACCTCAGCGGGAGAGTGAGGCAGGGAGGGGGAAGCGTCCGCTCCACGGAGCGATAATTGACGGAAATGACCCGCGCTCTCGCCCGCTTCCTTCCCCTCCTCTGTCCGTCTGCCTCTTATGTCACCCTCTTTCCGCCCTGCCCTCCCTCCAGGTATTCCCACGCTGATCCTGTTGGACGCCGAGGGCCGTGTGATCACGCGACAGGGCCGCGTGGAGGTGCTGAACGACCCGGAGTGCCGGCTCTTCCCGTGGCACCCGCGGCCCGTGCTGGAGCTGAGCGAGGCCAACGCCGTGCAGCTCCACGAGGGGCCCTGCCTCGTCCTGTTTGTGGGTGAGCTGGCCGTGTGTCTGGAGACGCGAAGAAGGGCGGTTAAATGTGAAGCAGAAAGTTGGTTGTTTTTTTTATGCTTTTTGAGTTTCCTCTAGTACCAAGAAGGTCAAGCGTCTTTTCATTACTCATTTTGTGTCTTCTACAGATATAAAATGGGTTTCTGTCTTGATTTCAGTTATTTGAGATGCCATATCATGCATATTTTTTTATTCCAATAAGAATCAAGCAGCACCACTTTGTGTTGGTTTGTTGCAGATAATCTCAAAAAATGCAGGAAGTGTTCAAGTTGTGTGAATAAATGTGGGAAATTCTTCCTGAGTGTAAAAAAACCCCATTTCTCTTAAAGCGCTTGATGGTTTGAAAAGTGCTTCATTTCTGAATCAGACTGCACAGTTTTAATAAAGTTTAAGCCGGCGTCAGTGAAAAGCTCAAATTCAGGGGGGATCCAGCTAAGTAGTAAGTGACAGAATCGGGATTTAATCTCCTCTGAATCAGATATTTACGCTTGTTGCTGGAATAGTTTGAATATTTACTTAGAAAATGCTTAAAGTGTTCAAACCGAGTTTCTGTATTTGCTCTGTAAATTTTCTTTTCATCTGGATGGGAACCAAATTTGATGACTCCTTATGAAACTGAGGAAAGAAAAGAACGATGCCTCTGCTTCCTGTCCCTCTTTTTTGAACAGCCGTTTCTTTTTGTGTCAAGCTTTTGACTGTGACTCTGTGCGACCTTATTCAGACGCTGAAGAGGAAGGCGAACTGGAGCCAGCCAAGGAGTTGATTCAGCCAATAGCAGAGAAGCTCATGGCCAAATATAAAGCCAAGGAAGAGGAGACGCCGCTGCTGTTCTTTGTTGCCGGAGAGGTGAGAGGAAACGGGACGCTGAAGTCAATTTCAAGGTGCAAGCAACTCCCCTGTGAAAAAGGACAGGGGAGTTACTTGAGACACAATACCATGCATAACTGCATGATATTGCAATATCATGTAATTTTGAAAGATTCTAGCAAAGTGGGCGGAGCCAAGACACTTGGAGTGTGGTCAGGTGAGCAGAGGCTGTCAGGGGGTAAGCAGGCTGTGGTCAGGATGAAAAACTTTCTAATTGTAGATCAGGTTGTAGAATCACCCCTGCTCTCCTCTCCATCATGTTGCGTCGCCACCTTTCCAGAGCAATTTAAGCTAGCAGCAGCAGCAGCAGACGGACTCAGTCGCCCTGTTTGTGTTTCTCAGGGCGTTTGTCGTCTGAGGGCCTCCGCCTTTATCAGACCCAACACAAAGAGACGTCGTCTCTCCGAGGCTTGCAATAATTCACAAGCTTTAGAGCTTCTATATGTGCGGAGTTTGTTTCCACAAAGGCGTATATTTCTACCCCCCTCCCCACCTGTTGCTGAGCTGGGGATAAAAACCACCAGGTTTGACTTGCAAACCTGGTGGTTTTAGCTCTGTTATTAATAATGATTAATCACTATGCTTAACTTTTTAAGCTTGAAATTGTGGTTCTTGTCGGCATGGTTTCCTGGGAAAGCCCCTTATCTGATTGTTTTGGGGCCTTTTTGCAGCAGAAAGCTTGTAATGCAGTCTGCCAGAACTAAACGGCATCAAAGGAGTTTTCCACATGCAGTGACAAACTCATCTAGGGGACAACTGACGGCTAATAAATTAAGAATTATTTTCTTCTTCTTGAGTTCATCACCCCTTTCGGATGCCACCCTGGGCAATTACCTATATCAAAAACTGACTGAAATAAAATTTATGAACGCATGTTAATAAAGTTAATTTCAGGGTTTGTATTGCATTTAAATCAAAAACTAGATCAACAAAATAAGCATCACTTTAAGTTCAAAAACCGGTTTTGCTGCCAAATTGTTGAATAAACAGACATATGAGCTGTTTGGTATTAATCTGTGAGGTTATTTGAGCTCGGTTCACGTCTTTGAAAAAATCCATCTTTAGACATACGGGCACTAACATTAGCATCAGTGCTGCTACATGTTTAGCTTTGAGGAGGCTAACTCCTGTTACCACAACTTGTAAACAGCAGCGTCCAATCATATCATTTTCCATAGCAAGAATTAACCCCCAGTGGGCCAAGAGGAGCAGCTTCATCCTCCATCGGATGTTGCTTGTTTGTCAGATTTGCGGATGTACCGGAATGGAAAACTTCCGGCTGGAACTTCTACATTGAAAACAAATTGAATTCAATCTAAATGAATGTGTTGAACTCCTGACCCTACAGAACCATAATCAACCACACACAAATGTTCTTAGCTTTTGGCGTAAGTTTCTGAATGGTGACCTCAACAGATGGCTGCCGTTGTCTGCATCTGCATGTTGCAGGCGACGGTGATGTTGTCCATCACAGTACATTGTGCAGCAAATTTCATTTAGGCTCTGATGTCATTTATGCGTTGTAAAAGACTGAAGTCTGCCTTGTCAGTGTCGTAATAGACGGATGTCTGAGCCGTCAGTCGAGGTTTCGCCGGCGTGGCAGTCATGCGTGAAATATCGCGGTTCTTCGGCGATCCGAATATTTCTGGATCGCCGATCCAGAAATGTCGGATCGGCGATCCAGAAATGTCGGATCGGCGATATGCTGTTTATGGAGGACAAACAACATGCGTTTGTCCTCCACGGCCAAACGCATGCTGAGTCACATCACAGCTGTGAGTGAGGTTGGCCCTTTGTCTCTTCAAAGAAAAGAAAAAAAGTCTTTTCTAGCGTTTGAGCTGCGCAGAGCGAGCAGACAAGGTAGCCAAACAAAAGGAAAGATCCGGGACTTCCTCTGGCGGCCAACGCCTGACGTGGAGATCAGATCCCCTCGGATCAGAGAGACCGGAGGTGCGGCGGTGACAGATTGCGGTTCCTTCTCGCTGCTTGCCTCGCATGATCCGTCATCCATGCTCCATGTGGCTGTAAGAGAGCCTGAAAGGGAGCGGGGGTTTGACTTGTAGCGGCGAGGATCTGGCAGTATTTCACTGGGAGGGGGGAACGTTGCCGTCTTCCATATGTGAGTAGCTACTAAAGTGTTCACCGATTTTGAATGGAGCCGGTTTCTATTGCCCGTCACCAGAAGAGGAAACCGCACAGCTGCTCTTTTGTTTGTAGTTTTCCAAAGCAGGAGGTCAGCAGCCTGTTTAGGTAGCAGCACAGCAAAGATATTCAATGAAAAGCCTTTGAGCTGATCACTTGCTCCGATCATGTTTAGCTGAGATTCTCTGATAGCGGGACGTCAGAGAGCGGAAGGGCTTACATAAGGCTGGAGTGAGTGTTGAACGCAGGAGGAAGCGCATCTGAAGTCGGCTCCCCGAAGAGAAAGTCAATGATAAACTCACAAATGGCACATAAGTCAGAAACCTCAAGTGGAAGCACACAGGGAAGCTTTCTGTCACAAGATCAGCTCTTTGCTGCAGTGCCACCTTCTGGTCTCTTCCTGTAACTTCAAATGTAATCTTTCCCATACGAAAGCGTTTTGTCTTTAATGAGTCCAACAAGTTAAGCTGAGGGGAATTAAGGTCAAGAAACATCCATCAACTGAGTAGCTGAACTCTTGACCAGGTAGGCAACTGTTTGATTACATAGGTGCATTATGTAACCTTTATTCAAAAAAGATAAAATAAAATGTTGCTTGCAAATTTGTTAAAACTATTTTCATGTCGTGACATGTTAGGCGACAGACGATCTGTGAAAAAGACAGAATCTGATACTTATTGCAGCCTGAAGAAATGCAACAACCAATCAGAGCCAAGAGAAAGATCTTAGCGCTGTCAATCATCCTCATGCACTCTGTTCAGTGTGCTAATGGAGGAGAAACAGCACACCGTAGTAGGAAAACCATTTATCCACCGGGCTATGCTCACTTGTCTGGGCATTCACAACTAGCTCTGCTAGCTGAAGCTTAGCCGCAGGGAGGATGATTGACAGCACTAAGACCCGCCTCCTGGCTTTGATTGGTTGATTATAGTTTGCACTTGGAGAAGAAAATTTATTTTATTGTTGTATTGTAGTTTCTCAGCTCTACCATAAACAAGATTTTGCTTTTATTTGCTCTCAGATTGTTTTTTTGCTCACTTGTTTCTGTTTTGTCGTGTTAATAGGATACTAAAGTATTTAGTAGACACCTATATACTTCATCTAAATTCTATCTTAGGTTTTAACAAAAGAAATGAAAAGAAGAGCCACAAAAATGCCTAACAATCAGAAGTTTGATGATTCCTCAAACTTAACCGATCCGGTATTAATATTGATATTGGTGATACTGACCCTGTGTCTACTTAGTATCGAATCGATACCAAAATGTGCAGAATTGCACACCTCTAATAGAAACACGTCTCGGTATGTTTGTGTAAAATAATTTTAACTAAGCATAATAAGCATTAATTTATTAGTGTAAGCAATATTTCTCTGGTATAGTTGATGACCTCTAGTTCCTATGGCAGAAAATCAAATATGTGAATCAAATACAAACACTGTATATCTACTGTATTTTATGAGACGGATTGCTTTTTAAAGTGTCATTCGTTTAACATTTCCACTACTGTGAAATTTAACAATGACTGGCATAAGAATCCTGTACTGTTAAGTAGAAATGCCTAAAAAATAACAATTGCTCTGCGTCTTTACGTCTGGAATGTTTCCCTGTAACGTGACGCAACATGGTTTCCTTCCTCCAGGACGACATGAGCGACTCGCTGCGGGACTACACCAACCTCCCAGAGGCGGCGCCCCTTCTCACCATCCTGGACATGTCGGCTCGTGCCAAGTACGTCCGCGACGTGGAGGAGATCACGCCGGCCGTGGTGGAGCAGTTTGTCAACGAGTTCCTGGCTGAAAAGCTCAAACCAGAGCCCATCTAAAAGAGAAACTCCGAGCAGGAAATGGACATGCAGAATGAGACTGTCACTTAACCCAGATCCGTTCTCTCTCTCTCTCTCTCTCACACACACACACACACACACGCTCTGTCTCCCTACTCTCATTCACCTCCCCTACTGACTGTTAGATAGAAACAAATGTCTCCGTACGGACATTTTGACCATGTTTTTTTTTTTTAAGTCCGTTTCCTCTCTTTATAGAGTCCTCTCTTTCTCCTGTGGTGCCTTGCATAGTCCATACAGTATGACGGCGTGTTGGAGAAATTGTAGATGGAAGGGGAAAAAAAAACAAGAGTATATTTCTGCCCAAAAACTCAGAAATTTTGAGATCAATTCCTGAAATTTTCTAGAAAAAAACATGGAAATTTCTGAGTTTGAAAAGTCAAAAATTTACTTGGAAAAACAGCATTTTTTTAGAATAGTTTCAGAAATTTTCTAGGAAATATATGGACGTTTCTGGGTTTCAAAAGTGTAACATTTTTGACTTTCAGAAAGAGTTGAAATTTTTCTATGTTGAAACTCAGAAATTTGCTCTTTTTTTACAAGTTTTTCTACCAATTTTTTTGACTGCTCAAACTCAAATTCCTTTAGGTTATTTTTTTTTCTAGAAAACTTTTGTGGTCTCAAAATTTGAGTTTTTTTGCCAAATTTTCAACTTTGGACCTCAGAAATGTCCTTATTTTTTCTATATATTTTCAGATGTTTTAGTGGAAATGTACTCGTTTTCCATCTACAATGGCCCTACTACACCGTCGTAATACAGTAATATATGAGGATATTCTGTTTGTCTTTTTTTATATAAATATATATATATATACACACACTAGCATTTTTGAGCTGTAGAGACAACCTGAGAATCGATCCAGTGGACCTACTTATTGAAGCTGATGCTTTGCTTTCTATTCTCACTGCAAGATTTGTGTTGCTTTTGGTTTCTGTGTGACGCTGACAAAGACTAAAAATGGAGTCATGTGGAAACTCACCTGTATGACGGCGGGTCGGATGGATGGAGCTTTAAGCCTATTTAAATAAAACCATAATCGGCGTGCAGCTCGCTGCCGAACGAGTTAATGGTGGTTTCCTCTCAAAGTTGTTGAGGATTTTCTGCGAAGGTCTCTGAATGGGGGGAAAAACAGACGGGATATTTCTGCGATCACAAAAAGACGAGAGGCATTTTTGAGAAGCGTCGAATGTATAAACTCTTATATTCTGTTACTCCAGTCATGACTTCTCTAGCACATTAAAACTCACTGGCAAGCATAAATTTAGTTTTTTTTTTTTTTTTAATCAACTTTTGACAAAAAACTAGCCAGGCTAGCTTTTGGGAAAAAAAAAAAAGCCAAAATGTCTTCCATGGGAAATGTATTTTTTCCAAGCACGATTGTATTTATTTTAGTTTGAAAAAATACAAACAATTCCTTTTATGGAATGCTGACATGCCAGTTTCCGACCTAATTACACAAATTAGATCTAAAAATGTATTGCTACAGTATTAAGTTTCAAATTCAATATTGGCATTGCAGTTAAATTATTCCAATGACTCCTGCATTTTCTCTGTATTTAAAAACAGTAAATTTATTATTGTTGGTTAAAGTTAATAGCCATTGCAGAAGGTCTAAGAGCCAAGAAATAACAATATGTTGCTAAAAAAGCAACATATTCTTGTAGTAGACATCTAGATGAAGGTTGCTTCACAGTTGCAGAATAAATACCCTTGTTCATACCAAATCATTTTGTCCTGATGCAAAAACCCCTCAAATTAAGAGTATGCTTTCTTTTTACCAACACAGCAAAAAATGTGGTTGTTTGAACAACCACATTTTGTCTTTATCATAGAAATTTCTGAAGAGCTGCAGATAAGGTTTGACCTTTGAACCAGCCTCGAGAGAAGCTGCTTGTTTTCAAAAGGACTCCAGGATTCTGAGGTCAGGGAAAGGTGAACTCTTAATGGAACGTAAGACACAATATTTTTTTTTAAAAACAGGAGAAAGTAGATCTTCACTTAAAATGTATGGGTTTATTACAGAACTCATACAGTTTACGCTCTATTCAGCTTATTCATGAGAACGTCCTCTCAGCCTTAGACTGTCTCTTCTCCCAGCGGTCTGTAGAAGCATGGACAGCTGCCTCCTGCCCTCAAACAGAAGGATGCTAGCGGCCATGGCTGAATTCAGACTGTCCACGCCTGAGACGATGGGAATAAAGAGTCTGGAACCGTCGGTTTTCTCAGCTAGCTGCACCGCCTCTGTGCTCAGGCCGTGCGTCTCTCCGCCTATCACCAGAGCGGTGGGATTCTGGGCCCAGTTCTCGTGGTACAGTTTGGTTTCCACTCTGGGGAGGGAAAGACCCTCGTCCTCCGAGTCGGAATCAGAGTCTGAATCGTATTCCTCGCACTCGATGGTTTTCCTTCTAGGTGACGTGCTGACCCAACCGTAATCTCCCGGTTTGGACGGCTTGTTGGTGCCGTCTTCGTCGTCGGCGTCTCTCATGTCAGCCACGTGCGCAGTCACTGATTTAGGGAGACGATTTCTGATCTCGTCCCAGTCCAGATTGGGATAAACGGGGACTCGGAAGTGGGCGCCCATTCCTGCACGCAGCACTTTGGGCTCCCAAATGTCAACACAACCTGTTGACAAGTCAATGAAACGATTAGAATTGCTACATTGAAGAGAAAAAAACGATGTGATAATTATGAGAAATGTTTGCATTTCTCATAATAACTTGTATAAAACAATAAATTCTGTGGTTTTCTGACAGTCTAAAAGTTAAATAGAACATTTAAACGATGCGCAAATTTTATGTGAGAGTTTGAGCTGGTATCGATTTCTGACATAAATATTGCTGTTACGGCTAATCAAAACTGACCCACATATTAAATATCTTAACATATATTAAATATTTAATGTATTGGGGGTGCAGGGAGCCACAAGTGGCTCTTTTGACCTTCCATAATGCCTCTTAAATTTGGCTAAAAACTAAAAGAACGGTTATTTTCTACATACAGATATGTTAGCAAATTCTAACATGTGGTTTTTAGCCGTTTTTCAATTCATTCCAGCACTAAATTCCCACAAAGAATGACAATTAGAAGGAATCAGTAATATGTTTGTAGATCTGTTTGCCTTTAGTTTAAATCTTAAAAGTAGAAATAAAACGCTGGTTCTTTGAAAATGACAAATTTCTTACAGTGGATTAACAGTTTTTTTTTTTTTTTTTTTTTTCAAAAAAAGTTGTGACAATTGTATCCCTAAATGAGTTTTGTTGTAAATGATACAAAACTCTCCAGCTTCCTACCATATGTGTTCTTTCATGTTGAAATCTGATCACTGGAAATTTTTCCTATGGATTTAAGCCCATTTACACCATAAATGGGCTTTAAGGAAGAAATCTACCTTTGGTAAGGAGGACGTCATGACAGCCAGCAGCAGCTGCACATCTCAGCATGGTCCCAAGGTTACCAGGATCACGGACGTTGTCGCATATCAGCGACAGCGGCAGCTCTCTCTGTGAAAAACTGAGCCGAGCAGGATCAGGCCGGGCAAATATTGCTGCAGAAAAACAACAAAACTAAGAACTTTTTGAAAACGTCTGCATCTTGATAAATCGAACGGACGATCCTTACCGATCACTCCCTGCGGGGCAACGACGTCGGACCAGATCTTGATGTCCTCAAACTTGACCTTGACTAGCGTCGCCCCACTCAGCTTGTCCAGCGGCAGCTCTCGGAGCCGATCCGCCATGCTGAAGAACACAATCTGAGGGCGGGCGCCGGCCTCCAGGGCGTCGCAGATCAGACGCCTGCCCTCCAGGAGGATTTTGCCCTGCTGCTCCCGAAACTTCCTGGATTGAGCAACGCTGACCAGCCGCCTGCAGAGAAGCAGAGGAAGCACAGCGAGATGATATAAAAAAAAAAAAAAATATATATATATATATATATATATATATATATATATATATATATATATATATATATATATATAATCTAAATCAAGAAATACCCAAAATCTCAGCTTGTCTCACTACATGGAGGTTGTTCTATTTGCAATACTGTTAGGTTGCAGGAATTTTCCACACCACCAGTTGAGATATTGTAACCACAGTTACTGAAAAAAACATGAAATACTTGAGTAGAATAGTTAATTAGTTTACTATATTGTGGTCACAATATCTGATAAGGGCTCTCATATTCCGTGACCGTGTATATTTACACAAAAGTTACAGGATTAGGTTTAAATTCTTTTGTTTTTATCATCCCTCGTAAAGCCTACGTCTGTGGCGTAGCATAGCGTTGACATGCAACAGCGCCTCCTGCGGTCACACAAAATATTGCAACAGATGAAGGAGGAGTTGACGTGGAGTTTTGTGGTTCTAATGCAACAGAACGCAAAATAAAAACAAAGAAAAGTTCAGTTATTCAATATAATAACTTCAGTGTCAAGAGGAAATCCACAAAACAAACGGCATGAATAAACGCAAATCAGTGACGCTTCTCCCCAAAGACACTTATTGGACATGAGGGGGAAAAAAGACAGTTGGTTTTGTTGTTGTATTTTTAGACAGGAAGTGTGAAGAAAGACATGCCGTATGTAGCACCTGTATAGCACTGCGCCACTCCATAATAATAATAATAAAGAAAACAGCGAAAGTAGAGAAATTGCTTACGATAATCTTTTATCTCCCGGTAAAGCCCTCTCATAGCGCAGTCCGTCTACTGAATCCTTTGTAGTGTTTGTAGTGTTAGCATGGGGTTGCTTAGCTGCTTTACTCCTCAGGCTAGCAGCGTCGCTCCGGTCGGGTTGTTCTCCGGCAGCTGTAGGACGGTCCCTGGCCGTCGTCTTCTTCTCTGCTGCCTGTGGCTGCTGCCGCTGCTGCTTTACGCCTTTCCCCGTGTCATCGTCAGGAAATAGCACCCTGACCGGTTTCCTCCTCAGGCCCCGAACAAAGCGCTTTGACTCCACTATAATGTCGCTTCTGGTGGAAAGAAAAACATTTTTCTCTACGGGCAACAGACGTATCACGCCTCTGATGAGCGCAGCCATTTTTTAAAATTTTATTTCTTCTTCTCTTGTCTGGAGGAACTTTTTATTACAACAAAAAAGCTCAGTGCTGCCACCTACCGTAAGTTACCTCCATTTATCCTCATAATAACTGGCTTATAGCGGGTTAGTAAGTTACTAACCCGCTTTTCTTTCAAATCATCTATTAACTTTTTAAATTAATATCTCATTTTAGTTGGACATATTTGTTTGTTAAAGTTGCGATTAAACTTGGAGGTGCTCTGTAAGTTTAATTGCAGGTGTAATCTAAAGGAGTCTAACCACATGTTGCATTCAAGTATACCTCGTAAACTACAGATTTATTATTTATCAAAAGTTATTAACGGTTTTAGCGTTTCCTAACTAGCAACCTTGATCTACTCTCAGCTCATTTTACTGTTTAAATAAATTAACTCTTGACAAAACATGCCGCAGTTCTGGTCACTTTTCCAATTGCTGCAAAGTAAATTATGCAAAGAGGCACGAATTCATATCAACAGATAACTGTATTGTAGTAATCAAGCGTAATAATACATTGCGTTATAGTTTAAGTGTTCCAACATTTATTTTTTTATTTTATTTTTTTGGTGAGGCGATATTTCTAACAGTTCGTTAAACATCCGAGGTAATCGGAACGCAACACTTCCTTTAGCGCTCGACGACGCAGAAATCGATCCTTCAGGAAGCTCAATCGAGCTGTGAGTAAAGGATCAGTAATCATGGCTTTGAGGCGAGCTTTACACTTTGTTTTTAAAGTCGGGGACCGAAATCAAACCGCCACGTTTTACCGGGACGTCCTGGGCATGAAGGTAGCCGATCTGAACTGAACGGAGCGTCACCTTTAACCTCAGTGGTTCAGTATTCTCTTCAGCTGTTTGACGAGTATTAGGTTTTTTTGCACAATCCCTGCAGGGTTCCTCTTTAGTTCAGGATGTGAAATTGCGTAGTTTTTGTTTTTTTTGTATGAATCCTCTTCCACGTTTCTTCTGTTTCCCTTCAGGTTTTGCGACACGAAGAGTTCGAGGAAGGCTGCAAAGCGACTTGCAACGGGTAAAGAATGACGCCAACCTGCGTGCACTTCGCACCCACAGGCCTAATGATTGTCAATAATTAAATCTTTCAGCCCCTATGACGGAAAATGGAGCAAGACGATGGTCGGCTTTGGTCCAGAGGACGACCATTTTGTAGCGGAGCTCACGTACAACTACGGGGTGGGAGAGTACCGACTGGGCAACGACTTTTTGGTGGGTGAAAGTGGATCTTGGACACGTCGTGAAGGGCAATCTCTGTTGTGGAATGAAGCAGCAGCAGCAGCAGTGAAGACATTTCTGTGTTTAGGGCCTCACCCTGCAGTCCAGCCAAGCAGTGAGCAACGCCAAGCGCCTGGGGTGGCCCCTGACTAAGGTGGAGGAAGCTTTGTATTTAATCCAGGCTCCTGGAGGATATCCTTTCTACATTATAGACAAACAGCAGCCTTCTCATGGTGACCGTCTCCTGCTTCTGCTTTCAAATAACCCCTCTGGTCCCCCATTAGTTTATGATCACATTCTTTAAAAAGTTGCATGCTTGTTTTTTTTTCTGTGCAGTCAATCAATCAAATTTTATTTGCACAGCACATTTCAGCAGCAAGGCATTTCAAAGTGCTTTGCATCATAACGAGCACAAAAACACAAAGTCATGCAACACGGAACAAACAATCAAAACATGACATTAAGTCAAGTTCCATCATGAAATTCATAATTGATTAAGTTTCAAATCCAATTCTAAACATGTGGGATTTTAGTTGAGATTTAAAGGAAGTCAGTGTTTCTGCTGTTTTACAGTTTTCTGGAAGTTTGTTCCAGATTTGTGGTGCATAGAAGCTGAATGCTGCTTCTCCTCGTTTGGTTCTGTGGATGCAGAGCAGAACCAGAAGACCTGAGAGGTTCTGGAAGGTTGATACAACAGCAGATCTTCAATGTATTGTGGCGCTAAGACCTTAAATGATTTACAAACTAACAACAGTATTTTAAAATCTATTCTTTGAGCTCCAGGGAGCCAGTGGAGGGACTTTAAAACTGGTGTTATGTGCTCTATCTTCCTGGTTCTAGTGAGAACGCGAGCAGCAGCGTTCTGGATCAGTTGCAGCTGTTTGATTGATTTGTTGGACAGGCCTGTGAAAACGCTGTTGCAATAATCAATGCGACTAAAGATAAACGCATGGATGAGTTTCTCTAGATCTGGCTAAGACATTAGTCCTCTAATCCTGGAGATGTTCTTCAGGTGATGGAAGGCCGACTTTGTGACTGTCTTTACGTGGCTCTGCAGGTTCAGGTCAGAGTCCATCACTACTCCCAGGTTTCAGGCTGATCGCTAGTTTTTAGTTGTAATGACTGAAGCTGTGCATTGACTCTAGATCTATAACTCTATATCGTTTCTCTTTAGGTCCAAAAATAATAACTTCAGTTTTGTTTTTGTTCAGCTGGAGAAAGTTTTGTCTCATCCACACATTTATCTGTTCTAAGCATTTATTCAGTGATCGCCTGGTGGTTCAGAGTCGCCTGGTGACATTGTGATGTAGAGCTGAGTATCATCTGCATAGCTATGGTAGCTAATATTATTTCCTGCTATAACCTGAGCTACCTATCTTTCTTTGTTTTTCACATTTATGGAAAGAATTCCCCCCATTCTACAGAAGTTTTTTTTTTTTTTTTTCCCTTTTAGAATAGAAAATTCATTTTGTTTTAAATCGTTTGCCTGCAGACCCTGTCCAGAAGGTTTGCCTTGGCGTGTCGGACCTCCAGAGATCCACTCGCTACTGGGCCACTCTGCTGGGAATGACGGTGATGGACAAGAGTCAGGACAAAAACACTGTGCTGTTGGGTTACTCTGACTCTCAAGTGAGTTACTAATGAATAATAAAGACATATACGTTGCTAGTTTGGCTTGATATATTTACATGTTTGGTATTTGTTCAGTGTAAGCTCGAGCTTCGGGACACTGGCGGGAAGGTCGATCATGGAACGGCATTCGGGAGAATCGCGTTTTCGTGTCCACGGGAGCAGGCAAGCTGCGCTTTCTTGGAACGTCTCGGGAGTAGCTCTTTTGAGGAGGCGTGACAAACGTTTTCCGTTTTCGCAGCTGCCCGATATTGAAGCTTTGATGAAAAGGAAAAGAGCAAATTCTTAACCCGCTGGTCAGCCTGGACACTCCTGGGAAAGCCACGGTGGAAGTTGTTATTTTAGCCGACCCCGTAAGTGTTTTTAGTTTTTACTTCAAATAATGTTGCAGTCTTTTACCAAATGATCATGGTGGAAATGGTGAGGGTGTTTTTATTATTATTGCTATTTTAGGACGGGCATGAAATTTGTTTTGTGGGAGACGAGGCGTTCAGGGAGCTGTCTGCTGTGGATCCCAGAGGAAACGAGCTGCTTGATAAGGTGAGAATTATTTCAAATCTCTCTTTGGGTTAAGCTCTCTACATTTTTGGTTGCTTACTGTGATTTTTCTCTTTTCCTCTTATTTTTTTTTTTTTTTTTAGGCTATGGCCGACGATAAAAGCAATGAGTGGTTCGCCATAAACAAAATGCAAAAGCCTGCAGCCTGAGACAAAGACGTCCGGTGGCAATGACCAACAGTGAGGAGATTCCTAACAAAACACCTGCAGAGAAAAATGTTTTATCATGTCATTTCAGTTCTGCTTTCACAGCAGGTCAATTCCCCAAAAAAGGAAGACATGAATAAAAGTATGAAAAAGTGTGGTGTACATTTGTAATTATCTTCTCGTCAGTTTCATATCCCAAAAATAAAATAAATAAACCAGATATATGACTAGTTTGCTTTTTTTTTTACAACCTTATGATGTGTGAAATTTAAAATTTTAGGATTTAATGTGCATAGATTAATAAAAATAATTCTGGCATGGTTTTATAAAAAATTCTTTGGAGTCGCCCCTGGAAACCGGAAGAGAAAAACCCCAAATGACTCAAATAGTTTGTCATTTGATTGTGCTGTCATTCTAAAAATGACTGATCTTTAATATAAAAATAAGTATGACTGAAGGGCGAAAAGTAACTGTAAAGTATTCTGAGTGGAATTCAATGCAGTCTGTTAAAAGTCTGAGTTTCCCTGAACATAATATTAATTAAAAAATCAATTTTGTTTTGTAACTAACCTCTTTTTTTACGTCCTTTTTAAAATAAGCTTGAAAGGACTAATTGAGTAGAATATAGTTGATCAGCATAGAGTAAATAAAGTTCCTGCATCGTGTCAAGTGATCTGCCAGCAGAGCTGTGTTTACCTTCCTGCCTGCCTGGTTGAGCAGTCATCTGTCAGCGAACCATCTCTCTCTGCGGCATTATGCAGGGGCAGCCAGCCGCTCTACCGTGTCAGGGTGGGTAAGGACGCTAATCCAAGTCTTTCAACCAGAGCAGACCACCAACATCCCCAGCGGCTCCTAAAAAGCGACGCTAATTTGTTCTTTTTTCGCCTCGCCGCTGCTCCGTTCCCGTTAGCGGTAGCGTTAGCACGCTAACTTGTTAGCTCTTAGCTATTGACTTTACTTTGGGGTGTCGCGGCGAGAAAAGTGGTTTTAACTGTTTCCTGCGCTGATGTTGCGCTTCACAGCTGTCGACTCGCGTCACCTGACTCGCGTTTCTTCATGTCACTAACAGGCGGCAGGCTTCGGTAAGTGTGTCCACGTCGTGAGCTAACTTCTCAAAGTTTACGTGCTATGTGGCATTGCTGCTCTAGAACTCCTTTAGCAACGTTAGCACCGTGCGGCTGTCTTTCAACGTAGACCTGCCACTGAGTCTTTGGAGAACGTGGGTTCATTGGGTCGCGGGGACGACTTGCGGGTCCCACTTTGCAGACTTTGGGCTAATGACACCGTTATGTCTTTCTCTTTGACAGCGGCTGACAGATAAGCGGGCAGCAGCCGCCACTCGATGCCCTAGCATTTGGGTGTGAACAATGTCTCTCCTCCTGATATCCCCCCTCCTCATCCTGCTGTCGGGGGTCGTGCTGCTACGTTTCCTGTCCAGGTGAGCCCTGCCGTGTTTTCACCGGTAGATCTGGAAAGAGAGCTGGCTCTGACTGCGGGGCTGTGGGGGTTTTTTTGTTGATTTTTCCCAGATGGCTGTTCTGCACCTTGGCAGTCCGATTCTTCCGGGCTGCGCTCAACGCGGAGCTGAAGATCAAATCAGTGGGGTTGTTTTCCGTCAGAGGAGTCAGCATCCAGTTTCACCCCCAGCACACTCTGGTGAGAAAAACATGACGTTTACCTCATGGCTTGTTATCCGTGTCCCGTCAGGGATGCAGGTGGATCTCATTGGGTAAAAGCAATTGCTGAAAAGTTGGTTTATTTCACCTATAAATTCAAAAAGGTTACGCTCCTTCACGCGGATATGTCGTTACATGCAGCTTGCTGTTGTTCATTTTAGGACTGACGTGATTAATTGTAATAAATCGATAATTTAAATAATCGTCAACTGATTTAACGGTTAATTAATTGTTAGCAAATCGACTCAGAAGCAGCCGATTCGCTGAAAA